ACACTGCATTTAGAGGGCCATGTGTAAACAACGCCATAGTGAGGATGGCAATAGTGCATTATATTTGAGCCTCCTCCCTATTAGCTTCCTATAAAAATAAAACAAGCCCTTCTTTTCTACATGGAGTGTTGCAGTTTCTAGTCAAAGATGGCTCCTGGTTTTGGTGTTTGAGGTTAGTTAGACTAAGTGCTTCTGAAAGAATATTTTTAAAATTTAGGCTTTTAAGTGGCTGTGTCATTTTCACTGTTTTTTTTACTCTGTGTATGTGATTTCTCTTAGTGGGTTTCCTTTTTTTTCTTCTTGTTTTTGGAAAGCCTTGTTTAATACTGAGATGAATTGAATAAGAAACTATTGATCAATTACATTTTTTTCTAGTCAATTGCAAATGAAATTTCCTAAAAAATAAGGTTTAAGGCAGCATTTTAATAACTCACTGTTGGAATACTTTAATGTCCTCCCACAGGTCCCAGGAAATGCTCTATATTCATTGTAGCTTCTTCTGGAGCTAGTGAAATTTCCTGTTTATATCACTACCAGTCAAATATTGACATTTTTAATTACCACTGCAGCCATTCACCAGCTTTGCATTTACAAGTTTTCTTTAGTGTGGTCCCTGGTAGCAGCGTACCGTGATACTTTCTTCATAATCTTTTGTGCTTTGTGTGTAATCTTTGCACATGAGAATTTTGTTGATCCTTTTGGAGTGCAGAGATACTCTGCATCTTAGGACTGAAGCACTGCCACATGAAGCCAAAGAGGTGAGTATAAATTATTCCATCTGCTGTACAAATTCCATCTCAGTCCATTGTTCCTATTGGCCTTTTCCTTTCTTGGGTAGTATAACTGGTGGGAGAATCAGAACAGTGCTTTTCAGGTACGTGTGGATGCTCTAGTACATTTGTGCAATATTTCCATCTGTTTCATGAGCAGTTTCCTCTGCAGTTCATTACCTTGCACAAGTTCTCACAAGCACAGGAAAGCTGGTGGCTTTCCCAGTGAAGTACACTGTTTCTCAAGGAATACTCAGTTTGGACCCACAGACTTGTGCATTGTGCAGACAAGTAATTCTGAAGGGTAGTCCAAGTATGAACTTCGAACGGAAAATAACCTGTGTGTTGATAAGATATAATAACAGTTATCAAGTCAACTTGCCCAATCCTGAACTTTGAAGAGTGGAAGTGTGGTAGGCTTGTAGAAGTACCATGTGTGGAGGTAGAGTATTAGATAGAAGCTGCAGGGGAGGGAGCAATGTATTTGAAAGGAATACAGATCAAACATAGAATAGGAGTCAGCAAAAGCTGACGAGGTTGGCAGATGAACAGGGAAGCAGTCTTTCAGTGTGTGCTGAAGTGTTCAGATCCTGCTTAAGTGCACTTACTAATCTCATAAAAATTTTTAAGGTGGCACATTACTTGGATTTTAACACATGGCAGTTTGATTCAGTGGAATGTGAGCTCCCAGTTATGCACAGTTGAATTGCTCTACTCTTTATCTTTGCTTTCTCTACTATCTTCCAGATCATTTGTGCATAATAATTAAATACTCAGTTTCTTTTTACAGTGTTTCTGCTCTTGTCTGTTCTGCATCTGGAAGCCAGGTGGCATGTCTGTCCGTCCATCGCTCTGTTGTATATTCATGGACATGGGTTAGTGCTGACTTACCAACTGTCTAGTTTTTTATATTGCTTTGAGAGATTACCCGCACATTCCACTTCCCCCGCCTCTTTTAACAGCCAAACAGCTGATGCAGCTCTGCAAACTTCAGACAAGCCACCTGAGCAGTTAAACTGGTTCATTTTGGTTTCTATACATCCTGCTTTGTGCCAGATGGGAGGGAAGGGAGGTTGTGAATGTGTTGCTTTTATCAGTGTAGACTTTAGACTTTCTGTTAAATGTCCACAAGTGATAAGAAGAAAGAAAGGGTAGAGAAGGGGCTGCCATTTGGAAGGCAAAATCAAGCCTAGGACTCTTCCACGGAAGAATTAGAGGTAGGGTTGATAATCATAATTGTTCAGCTTATAGAATTTTGTAACCTTTCTGTTTTCTTTTATATCCTTAGCCATTCTGAGTTAAATTTATTTTAGTGAATACTGGTCTTACCAGGTTTGTCAGTAATAGACAGGAAATTTTCAGCCTAAGGTATAAGCAGGATCATGGACTTGAACCACTGCAAAGTGTTAATTACTCAAGTGTTGCCACAGTAAGTTGGGTCACTGGCGGATGAGAAGTGAGTAACACCTCCAATAAATTAGAAGGTGATATTTTGTTAAGTTGATACTTGAAGACCAATCCACAAAATTTGCACCGAGAAGTAGAATATGCAGTAGAAGATTTTAGCTCTTGGATATGTTCGTTCTTGCTTGAGGAATGCAATGTGTTTAAACCCTTTCCTTGCATGTGTTTGGCAGCCTGGTTTTTTTTGAGTGGGTAACCATAAACTCTCTGTAGCTAGGCTATTTTCTAACACATACGTGCATATATATATGCATAAAACCAGAATATATGTCTGACTTTAAAGGAGATCCATAAACCAGTGAGAGGTTGTGTAGGGTGCGAAAAGATTAATTTTGCCCAAGATGTACATGCGTTCTGTATTGGATACTGTAAGAATGTGATTAGAAGTGAATAGACTACAGATAGCATACAGTGGATAAGGGTATACCTATCTGGACCAGTTTTATTTTTTGCATTAATGTTTGGTGACCATTTTTGTTAATTCCTCTTTCTTTGTTCATGTAATGCAGCCTTAGAGAAAATGAAAAACTTTATTTCAGGATGGTATCTATATTTTTTTAAGTTTATTATTTTATTTAGGCAAATTAAGGCAGTTCTACCAGCATTATCCTTACCAGCATTTCCCTTATATGTTCTTTACTATGCACTAGGAAGAATCAGCATGAAAGCTACTATTTGTACAGAACATTGTTGACAGTATAGCGTGTGCATCAAAAACAACAGACAAAATTATTTTCCTTTAATTGTTAACACAAGTTGAGGGTTATCAAGTATGTGTTCCTTCTCTACCTGATGACATTTACCTAAACCTCTTTTGTAATTGCAAATCTTAGACCACAGAAAGCTTTCCATTTACCTGTGAAGAAAAAATTAAATGAATGCTTCCCAGTTTCTTTTAAGGGACATAATATAATTTCTTCATTGTATTGATACCTTTCATAACCAGCTCCATTTTTGAATGTTTCTGTCAGTGTTTCCTACTTCTTTTTGCAACAAATGGTGATTGCCATTAAACTGTCAAATATGTGTCCTTTGCTGAATTCACATTCCTGTGAAGTTCATTTTCTCTGAAATGCTGTAGTTACCCAAAGTGTCAGTATCCACACTTATATCCAGAGTCCAAGTTACTAAAGGTTGAATTTGTGCTGCTAGCTGAAAATGTTGCATTTATTTTTATATGTATAATTTAGCCCTTGAATTTAACTGCAGTAGCAAACAAATAAATGTTGTATAAGGAAACAGGTGGTTTTGGACCCACCCTATTTGTCTCTGACTTTTTGAGAGGAAAAGATTGACAGTGGCAAAACTTAGAAAAGCAGGAGCCAACAGCTGTGAACGTTTCCATTCTTATTTAGTCATTTGAGCTTAGTTGTGCAAGTGCCTTTCAGCAAACAAGAAAATAGCTGCGTATGAACTGTGTGAGTCACATATGGTGGCTTTCTGAGCAGATTCTGAAGGGGTGAAAACCTTCCTATTTTGTTAGTTTGTAGAGATGAGATAATTTCTGTGTGTGTGTGTGTTTAATTCAAAATCTTTATCACAATGCTAGCCAATGATAAAGAAATGGACCACTGAGCTACCATGCAGAATAATTGTTTCAGGGGTGTCCCTTCTCCAGGAGCAGTTTGAAATGACATGCACAGATGTACTTGTCCTTGGCTGGAGAGTCCAGGGAATGGTTTTTGTTCCACTGATTTTAAAGCATTTTCTTGCACGCATAACTGATCAGCTTGTCCTTGACGAAACGTTTCACAGCCATTCTGTATGGCTGACGGAGAAGTGCTGTTGCAGTGGCTTTCCTTTTGGGATTTGGTAGGAAGACATGGGTGGTTTTGGCCATTCGTTTTAAAGGTGGTAAATTGAGTAATTTTTCTTTTGGATACAGGTTATATCGAACACTACTGAGCTTTCAGAGAAGCTATATAAAACAATACAACTAAGTGATACTGCAGCAGGCATTAAGAAAACAAAGTATAAGAACTTCTGCTTTTTATGTTGAGAGCTTGATTAAAAACAATGTTGTTTATCCTTTCCCTAAAAAGAAAAGATTTTTCAATTTGCCTGAGAATTGTTTAATGTTCACTTTCTTTTGCAGTGTTTTCAGTCTAAGGGTTACCTTGCATGCTTGACAGAAAGATACATTTTGTGGTATACCAGCTGAAGCCAAAATAAAAAGTGCAGAAGGTTATGACATGGTTAAAAATTAGAAGTGAGAGCAAATACGTCTTTGGTGCATGTCTCCCTTTCTGAATGTTTACTTTAAGAACTGGTAGTCATCCCATTGTATGGCCTTAGGTGGTGTTGTGTTTGTGCAGCTAAGGGTGTGTGTTTTCTTCGTTAAACACAGTTTAGAGATTATTCTTTAAATTATATGGGTGCTATATTTGATATGATCTGCTATTTGAATCATGTCAGATTTCAGCTGTAGGTTGTGTTTTTGCAATTTGTCAAACTTGCTTTTTCCTTTTTAGTTCTGTCCTTGTAAAGCTGTAATTAGAAACGCATGGTCTTGGTGTATGATACAGTATTTTTATCAGTTCATAGAAAAAAAACTGTTCCAGGCTTTGGCCCATATGATTCTTATTCAGAAGCAGCTTGTAAATCTGATTGAGACTGTCGTTTGGGAAACCTTGCTAGGTATCACTTTCTCCTATATATTTATGTAGATATGTAGGTATGTATATATATGCAAACTTTGAAAATGTGTCCCTTCATTCACCTATTCATGAAATCTAAGAAGTTCAGAATAGCTCCTCTCTTTTGAAGATTACTCAGAATTGGGAGAACTTCCACCCAGATCCCCCTTGGAACCAGTGTGTGAAGACGGCCCCTTTGGGCCAGTGAAAGAAGAAAGGAAACGGACACCCCGTGAGCTTCGCGAGTTGTGGAAGAAAGCCATTATTCAGCAGATACTGCTCCTCAGAATGGAAAAAGAAAACCAGAAGTTACAAGGTTGGTGAAGTTTTTGATTACACCCTACTACAATACAGCTTCACTTTTTGTTTTGCTCTGTGACCTTGGCAGTGGGTTGGACCAAGCCTTAATGAAAAGTTTTAGGAACATACAGGTAAATCAGTTTAGCAGCATCTCCCTCAGCTCCCTTTAGTGTATGTTACAATTTACACTTTTTTCTAAATCACTTCACCTTATTATTAATTGGTGCTCTTAATTTGTACTCATTTTAGTTTTACCGTGGCTGGGCTTTTTTAGTCTTGTGTCTAGAACCTTGGACAAGAAATTCAGCACAGTCACTATCATGAACTGAATTATTTTCTACATACACATCTATAGGTCATTGTCTTAAGTACTGATCATTGCAACATTCTGTTGCCAGTCTTGAAGTTGAATTGAAGTTCTTGTGGAGTTCTGTGGGTGCTTGCCTGCGTACACACACTGCGCAAGCAAGGTTTGCGTGGAGTAGTAATGACTTAGATCAGTCAGAAGGGTGTTGAGAAGGAGCCTTAGAAACTGGAATTTGCAGTTGTTCTTAACCAAAATTTTTCTGCAGCTGAATGCATAGCTGCAGGAAATCTGTTGTGGCATTTTTTACACAGAAAATGCAGCTGATTAAGAATACACGTTTTCATTGTAGCAGCTGCATACAGAATTACAAGTGATTGCCCTTGAGAGGTTCTCCTTTGAAAATATGAATGATGACGACAGAAGTGTTTATCTGACTGATTTTAGATGTTCAGGAAGGGAGTAGGCACTTGGATCCTCAAGGGGTGAGGTACCTGGCATGAAAATGGCAATTCTTTGCCTTTATGTAAACTTGAGGAAGGATTGCCTTCCAGAAAGAAGAAGTGTCTACAGAAATGGCCCAGCTATGGGAAAAGTTTACTATACCAAACATGAAATCCTTCTTTAAACTTGGGCTGAGGCTCCTGGCTGAAAGGAGATAACGCCTCTCTCCAACATTGGATGTGGCTTCCCAGAACACTTAGCCCACCTGTAGACTATTTGCTCCTCATAGTATAGCTCTCCCGTTTCAACCCTGATACTGGAAGACCACCCGATACCTGAATTTCCTAAGAACCACACAAGTGACAGGCTTGTTCCAAGCAAATGTACTTGCTAATCCAGTAAAATAAAATATGGCAATGGATACCAAATATGCAATGCCCTTGGCTGAGGGGCCAAGACCATCTGGAGAAAGAGGTATGGAAAGGAGTGATTTGTACCGTCATCCCTTCAGCTTAAAGCAGCACTGGCATGAATGAGCTTCTGTCAAGTCACTCTGTAACTTGAAATTTTTATGGGACCTAGCATTTAGAAATAGATTTTATCTTTTTTGTATATTTATACTCCTGTATTTTAAAAAATTATCTTGTATTCAAGGTGTCTGAATCTACAGCCTGCAGTCAAGTTTTTGGCAACTGCATAATATCAGTAAAAATTTTAACAAGTTTAATCCAGTTTTGTCTACCCAAAGGAAACAATTATAAAACTGCTACAAATTCTCTAAGATGAGCATGTCTGAAGTTAGTTAGTGAATGAATGAGACAGGTGTTGGCATGACTCAAGACCCAGGCTGTGCAGTATGCACTGTGGAGGAACGAAGTTGTCCTAGGTAGCTACTGCATGAAGAGCTCAGATGGTGAGAAAGTACTTGAAAAAAATCAGATGCCTACACTGCAGTGAGCAAAGCTTTGCAATGTAATGCTACGTGTTGTGATGCTTTTGTCTCTGGGCAGGAAAAACAAACATTTTAAATGCAGTAATAGTTCTCAGAGTACTACTGTTTAATACTGAACAAAATATTAAAATTAAATATACAATATGTAGCATCTTTACTTCGTCTTGGTTTCCTTATAGCATTTTCTTTGAGTTTTTCAGGCTTTTTAAGAAGAGGTGTCTGTCTATCTCATCTGCACTGTATTTTTTTTCTCCTTCTGAGCTGAAAGACCTCCTCTGTTTTTCAGTCTCATGACTAGCACAAGTCCCAAAAGTTGCTTTAGTATTTAGTTTATATGAATACCATTAATAAACTCCTTTTTCCAGATACATTCTAGCACTAAAAAACCCCGACGGAAACAAGCCTTAAAAGCTTTGCCAGGAGTCCCTTTGAAATTGTCACTCCAGTTCTAAACTTTGGAATTAACACTCAGCTAAAGAATTAATTTTCATTTTTGCCATGGTTCTTTGATGCTTTCCCAGCTATTGATTTTTTGTTTTTAATCCCTGATAGATAACACATGAAGATATAGTGTAATATTCTTATAAATTGTAATGTGAGAAAATCACCAATACTGCAATCTGTTTCTGCTCCAGGAACTCTGATGATCTAACATGTCTTATTTAAGACTGAATTATACATTGACTCTTGTTCTGATTTCTTCAGTGGAGACTTTGAGAGAGCCTTATGTATATATAGTGTTTATGGTCCTATTTGTGTTTAGGGTTCTCAAATTTTCTGTACTTGAACTTCCTTTTTTATGTGGTCTGTAAAAATGGACATGTGAGTGATCACCTTTAAAGTAATTTTTAAAATTTCTCATTACTATTATGGAGCCGTATGCATAAGAAATAGATTACTATATTGGTTTTGTGTTTTTATTTGATGTAGGTCTTCTGCACTATTTTTTTTTAAGAGCTGGGAAATTGAAAAATCCTGTTAGGAAAATCTTGCGTTTATTTCATTAGTCGTAATTTCTCATGTTTCTTCAGATCTAAGAGTTGACTGTCTGTAAGGAACTTAATTTAACAGGGCAAACACAGTTAGTATTGCATATAGTATCTTAAGGGAAAAAAAAAAACAAACATGCCACACTCACAGCAGTGTAGATATGTAATGTTTCAGAATTAAGAGGGTTTAATTTTAGGTGGATTGCATGATGAAGTTCAAAGTTAAATTAATCGATTTTACAAATAGTAAACAATATTAACTTATGCATTCATGATATCACTTCCTAGCTTCAGAAAACAATTTGCAGAACAGACGTCTGAAACTTGACTATGAAGAAATTACACCATGCTTAAAAGATGTAACTTTGATTTGGGAAAAAATGTTGGGTACACCTGGAAGGTCAAAGGTTAAATTTGATGTGGAAAAAATACACTCTGCTGTTGGGCAAGGTAAGCACAGTTTATTATTGTGAGTTGTTGAAATGCATTGTATTAGAAAGGGAATAGGGTGACCTCTTAACCACTCCTCCTAACCAGATTCTCACTAGAGCTGTTCTTCAGGTTGCTGACTAAACAAGTAACAGTAGTTGTGCATATGCAAGTTAACAGTCCCTTTCAGCAGCAGCTGCAATTGTATTACTGAAATGATAATATTTGGTATTCGTTCTTGAATAACATTTGTCCTTCGAGGGGAGTTGTACAATACCTCAATGAATCGTGGCTAAACTGAGGCAGTGCGGTCTG